GGCCCGTGGTGCAGCGGCTTTCGCACGGCCGTGCCCTCTCCCGCTCGTCCATTTCCAGTACGGCACATGGAAGTGCCAACACGGGGTTTCAATTTGATGGAGCCCCTTCAATGCTCAGTTATTACTTGTATTATCCTTACTTTGGTTCCCACACGTATAATTTCGTTTCAGAGTCAAGAGTCCGGGCAACTGGATCTGTGCCCGGTGGGTTAAGTGTGGTGGGGAGTAGAGACAGGCCATGGCCAACAGCAACAAGCCCGTTTTCTCAAGCCACGTGTACAACGTAGCTGACCCTTGACTGTTTTCACTGCTCACGATGTTTCCTGCCTGGATGCAACATAAATACCAAAACACTGATCCGACAGCAATTTGTTTGCCTCAAAGAGCAAAATTCAAATAAATGTCTGAACACAGTATGCACGGTATTGTTTTACAGCTGTAATTTTTCTCCTGACTTCACCATTAAGCAATCTTCGAAAAGTTGCTCTGCCTCCTGTCTTTTCTGTGCCTGTTGGATAAAACAGCAAAACCAGGCCTGGGCCTCGACCTCGGGGAGCCGCAGGCTGTAGTTTCTAGACATACCATGAGACACGACCCATCCATTTTTCACAGCTCAATGTGTACAATTTCACTGCGTAGCTAACTTACACCACGGCTTTATGGGTGCTATTCATCATCCTGAGTAACTGTGAGGAAAGTTATTCCTGCCTGATCAGCTTTAGTCTTAGTTGAACTTCTGAGCAACAAGAAGGATCAGATTTCAGACTCAGGCTATGTTTTGCATCTGGGGAATCGGCAATCTCATCTTCTGTTGAGGATTTGCCTGGGCAGGAGGCTGTCTTATTACAGCCTGTCTTTAAAACCCAAGCACCTTCTGGTTTGGTTTGAAATCACTCATCCATGCTTCTGAAGACAGGCAGAATTTATATCGCGGTGCTCTTGTTTGCATTGCGATGGCACCGTACCAAGAGCAGCACGCCAGATGGTACAGATGCACTAAAAAGCCCACCCCCCCTCAGCCTACCAAAAAAACCAAAATAACTTACAATCACTTCAGAATTAATGTTCTCCATTTATTGATCGTCTAGTTTCAATAAGCATTTTCCAGGCATCACAGCAGGAACGAATTTTAGCATGACAGCTGAACAGCCCTTTGATTTTTACAGAGATCTTCTCTGAGGCATAAGGGGCAGCACGGAGAAATATAAAAAAGGAATTAGGATGGCCATACTTCTTTGATATTTAATTAAAATTCCATGCTTTGCTTTTTCTTTTCCCCCAGTGATGCAGTGTTATCCAGAAAGCAGGCCACCTTGTGTTGGGGGAACAAACAGCACAAAAACTCAGCCATAATTACAAGCCTCTGGAGAACTAGAAAAAGTGTAATTAATCATCTAGCACACTGATGACCTACACAAACCAGACAAAATACGGGATCTCTGTGCAAGTGAAACTGAGTAAGAATGCTGGTTTACTCAGTTGTTCAACAAGTATTCTAGTACTGCTTGTACATACTGCATCTCTTCAACAGTGTTCCTATCCTGAGGCTAAGCAGAAATTTCTGGTCCTATCAGTAACCCTCACAGCCAGCTCCCTTTCACATGTGGGGCAAGAACAAACAAAAAGCCAACTGCGATCACAGAAAAGTTAAACAGGCCATTTCTATGCCTGCCAGGCTTTCTACAACCTGGACATTTGGCACCAAACCCTCAGCTGCCTCTTTCACTATGTCATTGGGCATTCACCATACCTGCAGCTTGTACACCTCAACAGTATCTCCCAGTAACGCTCCTTCCTTTGGAGTATCTGGGTGATGTGGCATCACAAACCACGAAGTGGGCTTATATTCAAATAATTTAGAAAGAGAGGAACCAACACTGCTGTGGAATTAACAAGTCTTCCATTCCACTGATGCAAGACTGACATTTCCAGGCCTACCCCTTAAAGAACAAACAAGCAACTCTTCTGGAGAAGGAATGAGAAAAATAAAGCTTTCAACAATTGTGTGAAGTTTACAGATGAGGCAGTTGTGAACTGTATGCATTACTTGGGAAGACAAAACAGAGAACACTGCTGAACTTGCTCAAAGCAGCAAGTACCGATTATCTTGAATTGTTGCCAGCTCTTTAGATACACTGTGGAAAGGGAAAAGGAAGGGGAGCCTGTGGGGGAGAAGTCTCCTTCTTTAAACTACTGTTTAGGAACAGTAGCTTCTTCCCACCGTTTTGTTTATGGAAAGAATGGCACCGTGCCACTGAGATTCTGCACGGTCCCAACTCTTAGATAAGTGAAACAAAGGAGAGCCAGCTGGTGGGCAAGAAACTGGAATCTCAAGCAATTTTAGAGAAGCACTCAAACAAGAACTAAAATCAGCTATTGTGTCAGGGCACTAATAGCTCTGAAGCACTGCAGACATCTGCCTGCATGCACAGGCTATCCCATTAAAAGCAAATTTAATGATTTCTCAAAATAGTTAGTTACCAAATACGTAAATGTACACATCTGTGTTTATTTAAAACACCTGTAGGAGGAAGCAATACCTTTACTTGTAAGTCATCTTTTACTTACTAAATGGCTTTTTTGTCCCATAGGGCTGTATTGCCAGTAATTACCACCCTCTCCTTCCACCCAGCCCACCCCTCATGGAACCTGTAATATATGCCTTTTAGTATATGCATGCTACACAGAAACCTGTAACAAAGTGCAGCAGGCTAGCAAATTAGTACTGAAGGCTCCTTACGAGGCGACTCTTTAACACTGGAACTCTTGATTTATTAGTGGGTTACTCTGCTGTGGTGAACCTGTGACAGAGCAGAGAACAGTCAAGTAGTTGCAAGTTCCTTCATAAAGTTTCTTTGGTAGAAAGGTATTTCAGGTAGGCTCGGAAAACTCTTGTTACCAGATACTCCAAGATTAGTATTTGCTCACCAGAGGGCCAAAGATAGTTACAATAGGAAGAAAGGTGTGTGTTTTGTTTGCTTTTTAATTATTTCAAGATTAAATACAGTATGTCAAATTCAACAAATGTTTGCAGATGTTATGTTGTTGAGGATGTTCAGGTAAGTTGTGCTCCAACTGCAGTTACCCTTCCTATTTAGATACTCAAGACAGCCAGTTTGACACATTATTATTGGAAAAAATTATATTTTGGAAGAACTCACTACAGAAGGTGACAGAATTCCAAAAATCAAATTACATGAAAATATACATCGCCATTTTCTTTGTACATTAGGTGAGGAAAACTCTGAAGTAGAAGGCAAAGAATATGAAGGGCCACAGAAGAGAAAAGGGAAAAGGAGGGAAACTATTTCTGATACCAAACCCAGAAGTTAGTCATTTGAAAGCCTACAGATGTGCATGCTTGAACTCAACCTTGAGAAAAAACAAGCCTCCCACACACACACCCCACCCCACAAACAGGCAATGAAAAAGGCAAAAAAAAAAAAATCACCCATAAAAAGCAGCTCATTCCTATCTTGGACTAACTTAGTCAACTGAACTTCCCAATGAAAGCGCTCAAGTCCCTTGGAAGTTAAAAAACCCACAGGCTGCTCAAGGGTGCTCCATGGCCAGTTTTATTGCTATACCAAATTCAAGAAGTATGTGCAATTGGGTTTAAAAAAGGGGTGGGAAGAAAATGAACCAAAAAAAAGCACCTTTAAAACTACAGAGGTCATCATAAAAGACGACAAGTAATTGATAGCAAATCCTTTCAGGGTTTAATTAGGAAAATTTTAAGTTCTGACAGGGGAAATAAAACATCTTTCCAAAAACCAAAAAAAGAGATACTAAACTTTAATAAGCAAGAGATTTTAAAAAAAAAAAAAAGGGGGGGGGGGGGGTGGAAAACCACCCACAACTTTATCCTAATTGGTTTTAGTTTGACATGCTTCACAAGTTGTTGCTTGTTTTTTTTTTAAACTGGTAGGAAACAATGAATAGGGAGAGAAAAACCTGCTAAAATCTTTAGAATTTACACGATTCTATTCCTAACTACAGACAGCATTATTTGGTACAATGTGTATTTGTGGATGTACATGAACAGTATATATATTATCCGGATCATGTTGTGCTATGTACACATCTTTACAATTCTTCCTGAAGGTTAAAGCAGTTCATTAGATTTCAAAATGCGTAATCATCTTGTGTTGGCACTTGTTAGGCTCTTGTCAGCATTGATAACTGGCATGTTTTATTGCAGCCCAGTTCCAGCCAGTGTTTGCCAACTTGTAACAACAGAAGTCCAGCAATAGGTGGGTAGAGTGCAGGAAAAAAAACAGTGCCATGTTTCTCATTTGAAGACCTACAAAGAAATCACAAGTTATTAAAATAAAACCCCTCATCATCCTCAATTATTTTAAAGATGTTAAATAGTGTTTCAAGCTCAAGGAAGATAATCATTACTTGCTCAAGAACTTTACATACCTCTAAACAGAAGATGCATAAATCCAACATCATCACCTGAGAAAGACTTGAGTTAGTTCAGCATACTGTGTATCCAAGCTCAACTATCAGACTTTCAGGCTCCTGTTACTCTTGTTGCTTGTCAAGTGCATTGATTATTCACACGCAGGGCTAAACACTTGCAGATTTATCATTGAAACTTCTGTGCATCACTTACTGTGAATGATGGCTGCTGCTTCAACAGCAAAGTGCAGAACAAAATGGCATAACAGTGCTTCATTAAGCAATTAACACCACAGCTACCAGACCACACTGTGCTTGTTTGAAACCAGCTATGTGGCCCCTTCTCATCCAATTCATTGCCCATCACTTACTTAGGAGGAGTCACCAGGACTGTGAAAAGCTTTTGCCTTCCAAAAGAGCAACACAGCCAATTACTTAAATATTTGTCATGAGCATTGTTTCACTATGGCCAAGTTTAACATGGCAACAGAGCTGAGGTTAGTTAAGGATACTCTGGAGCGTTACTCACAGTTACTCCCTTTCTCCAAGACAGGAAAAAACTGTCAGCTGCATCAACAATTCTTACACTCTAGTTATAGGCAGTTGTATAAGACATTCATTTCCTTTGCTTCGGCTTTTGATCAATATTAAGCATTTTCATGCTTTCTCTATACTCGAGAAAATTCCATTCAATCAAAGCATTTCTGCAGCGCAGATATACTGCAGTACTCGTTTGTCACAGATGGAGCCTTCCCCCACCCCCAACCCCCACAATTTTTTCAGAAGCATAAGAAAAGCAGTAACTCTTGTACAACCTCGGTGACAAAAAACTAAGTAGCAGGAGCATTTAGTAAGCTGTTCTAGATGTTCAGACAGTACAGCCCCTTTAAACTATATACAGTGCCATGTTTTTCCCCCCCACGTTTTATACACTGAAGCTAACTAGTACATATGGTTTTGGACTTCTCCACACAAATGGGTCAGAGTAGATTGTTTGCCAAACCAACCATTAAGAAAGGGCAGCTTCAACATGAAGCATTGTTTTGCTTTGAAAAGCAAGAGTGGGAAATTATTAGCTAGTTGAAGAAGTTCCTCCTTGGCATACCAAGATTGAAATGACCAAAGGCCAGGTATTTAAGGGCCATGTTTTAATACAGAGCTTTCCACAAGAGCTTACTGTGTAAAAAAAAAAGTCTCATTAAAATGAAGATGAGATTGTTCACATTAGAGTGTCTTTGAGCCAGAAGCTCATTTTTAACAGGGTGGCATAAAGTGTAAGTATCACTCAGCTACTCTCAGGTCAAAACTCATCCAAGCTCTCAGATATGCTACAGTTCAGTTTCCAAGCAGAATATAGCTGTTTTTCTGAAGCTATCCTAAGCCTTCCCCAGTAAAAAAAACTTTTTGGGCTGCTGAAGAGAATACCACCTTTCTTGGTATTATCAATGGGTAATTATCTCACCTTTACCCTTTCTGATATGCTAGCAGACCTTCTATTACAATTCCCACAGATACCTGAAGCAATCCTTTCTGAATGGTTCCTAACAACCTCACTTAAGTCTTATTTAAAACTTACATGCAACTTGCCACCAACATCTGCAAGATAAGTTCATATATATATATGAACTTGAGATAGCAAGACAGGATGCTTAAGATTCAAAATAATGAACATGAAAGAATGATTATTCCTTTCTATTACAGCTCTAGTCACTCCTAAGCACTATTAATAAAGTAGGATGAATACTGATAAAGAGAATTTCAACTTCTGAACAGCATAAATGCACGAATGCTAGAGAAGTTCTCCAATCTTGGCAGAAGGGGTTGTTACTGCGCTTGAAAATTCTTTTAGTCTTTAATATCACATACAGCTGAAGAACTCCACTGAGACCACAGAGATGAGAAAAAAGGTTGTTTGGTTGGATTTATTTTTTTTTTTTGCTTTTGAGGAAAAAAAAAATAGTTCAGCAACACTTGGGCAGGAAATCCTCTACTCAGGTAATTGACTTGTCTATAGAAGGATACTTACCCTGAAAAAAGTGAAGCTACTAGCTGCTGAATAAGTGTCACTCAAAAGCAGTTTCTTGGCTTTTTCTTACACAGCGGGCAACTTTTCTTTTAAATTCTCCATTTCTGTCTTCTCTCCATTCTTTCTGTAATTGAATAGACAGCTTTCAGATGTCAGTCCTGTAACAACGTACAACTTCTAGGAAGACTGTTTTCAGACATTAGCCATCTAGTCAGCACCAGTATTTGCTCACAATCGTTGAGCTACTCACTGAAAACCTGTGGCATTCAGGACTTCCAAAAGCTTGCTCTGGGTTTCTATGCAAGCTGCTCACAAGACAGTGAGGATGCAGCCTTTCCCCCTTGGATTTTAGGCATTCACCAAGACTAACCTGGTGGCTACCAATATTTCACAATGTCTAGGCCAAAATCTATTTATTTCAGCCTGCAAAGTAGCAGCAAACTCAAACTGCAGACCGTGAGCTATCGTTATGCATTAGAGAAAATGTCTTTCACTGCAGTGATGAAAAAAAAGTACACAGCTACTGCGGAGCCAGTAGTTACTCTGCAGTTTTTAGGACAGTTTCAACTCCCCCTCAATCTAGCCAGGACACTCCAGGATAGAAATACAAAGTCACAGTATTCAGAAGAGGCACAGCAGTGTCCTTAGAAAGAAAATACCTCCTAGTTAGATATGGCTGCAAGATACTGGCTCCACAAGGAAGACCTTAACAGAATACCCAGCACACCTATGGGGATGGTCTCTGTAACAGGTATCTGATTTCAGAACTGCATAGATGAAGAACAAAGATAACGATGAACAGGAAGACTGGCAAGAGGCGAGTCTGAACCCAGAGATGTGCACACCATGGTATCACCAAAACCCACAGGACAAAGCGCAGCCTGTTTTAAGTTTTTTGTGCCAGCCTCATGATGGCAGATCATGATGAAAGCATCATACACTGTGACTAAGGCTGATGTGTTGGGTACTGGCAAGGAAGTGGTGGGAAAATATGAAGAACACCTTATTTAAGTTCTACAGTTCTTGGTTTTTGATATAAGCAATATTCTTACTGCAGGGGTGGGGGAAGGGGTTAAAAAACCCCACAATGTTACCTGAAACAACCTAGCACACAAGACCTTTTCACCCCACATATTTGAGCAAGAGAAAATTAGGGTAACTGGCATATCCTAATATTCATCACCTCCAAGCTTACCTAGTCAGTCACCATGTTGGAAAGCCCATCGTGTCTTATCTTTCCAGTGAAAGCACAAGTAAGGCTATTAATTAATTTGTTCTTTTCAGCAATTAGTACAGCAAGCATTTGGTTCCTTGGATTGGGACATAGGACAGCTTACACAGGATGGCTTAAGGCCAATAAAAGCATTGAATTTGTGCCCTCCCAGCTTCAGATTCTTACTTAGTTCTATGAAGCAAGCGTTCAGAATGTAATAGCAAGCCAAGTTTCCAATTTGACAGCAATCTCTTCAAAACTCTTACTTTAGGCCATTAACTGTTCTATTTGCTTCTCACATTATCTATTCAAGCTCCTGTCCCTCATTTTTCTCCCACTCCAAGAAACAGTACTCCAGCACACATAGTCCATTTTTCCAGGAAGCGGGTATATCCCTTGCTCCTGTAATGCTGTGCCCTGCCTGCAACACCTTATTCTCTAGATTCAACTAAAACTAGAAATTAACAAAAGCAGACAAAGTATCTTTTAGTAGCTGCCAAATACTGTTGCTGCAGTAAACTTGTACTTCGTAAGCCAAGTATAAGATGCCTTGATAGCAGCTCAGAATAAAGAACATGAGCTGCTGATTCTTCATTACCCTGATGAGTATGTTCTGGTTAATATGAAGAGGATGCAATCTGCAGTCCAGCAGGAAAAGCTAAGCTGCTCAAGTAGCCCATTAAGTTTAAAAGTTACTTGGAACATCTAATACCACAGTCAGAAAAATAGTTACTAACATACAAAGGTTACATCAGTGATGCCTCAGTACTGTCTTCACAGTTGGATTTGAATTTAAGTTTTTGTTCTTTCAAGCTGGGCTAGAAAACACTGTTTCGATAAGACAGTTTCAACCTTTACCCTAAGGTAAAATTAAAAAAAAAAATTGCTCCTAAAGTGCCTGGCAGAGAGTGGGGCACACTAGAGAAAGATTAAGAAGTTTGCAAGATGCTAGGAAAGTGACAAGCATAGCTAGAAATATAAACTTGCTCCAGTGTTAGGTCAGCTGCACTCAACGTACATGAGTCTGTAAACTGAGGAATTCTAATTGTACTTCTAGCATTTCATTAATAACTTGCTCCTTCCAGTGCTCTCAGGTTTGCCAGCAGAGAACGTCCATATCCTCTGGGTATTTGTTTCCACCACTAATGTGACACAAAGGGGAGGTCCAATGCCCACAAGAATGTTAAATGAGGGAATTCTTCACTACAACTTTGTGTTTGTTTCTGTTTTTCTTCCCATTAAGGTTGTTCCACATGAGACTATTCCCATGATGGCTTGTCAGCAGAGCTCAACTACCTTTGGAAATATTAACAGCACAGTAGATCAAAGGCTTCAGGATACTAAACTCCCACCCACTTTGGAATATACAGCTAGCTTGACAGAGCAGGTTAACATGCTTCTAGAAAACTTTGCATCTTCCAATTACCACCTCCCTTTTCCTCACTACCCCAGTTAAAAGACCTAGAAGTTCTTTCATGAAAGGACATCATGTATTAGTCACTACTGAACTGCAATTCAAGAGTAATTCAAAGGAAAGTATGTTGGCGTATCTCAGATGAATGGGACCTGAAGGCTGTTCCCCTACTCCCCTTAGAACTGAGAGTTTTTTCCTTCCCCACCACAAATAGTTATTAGTCTAATTGCTATTCTGCTATAAAGGCAGCTCTTCTAGAGAGCTGATAGCTGTGTTTATACACCCACACAGAATAGGACATGCTCCAGAAACACTATACTGCATGAAACACTTGCATCTCACAACAGAATCCTTACAGCAGATTCACCCTGGTCTTCAACTATAAACCAGGCCGTTCTTCCTCATTCCTAGCCAGACATTCCAGTCTGGGACAACACTCCCTCCAGAGTTGAAGGCCAGATGCCCGGTGAAGTTTTCAAGTACATTCTCAAAGCACAGACCTACACAGTCAAACCTGCTACTGCTTTAATCCATGACTAAGGACAACTACTGTAGATAGGTGGATGCAAAAAAGTCACAACATAATTATACTGAGAGACCCCACCACATTTTCTCCTTCCATTCAAATAGATAAATCTGTTAACAGCCTATATAATTTCCAAGACAAAAATTTTGCTGTGTTATACTAGTAACATACTAGGAACCAAAAAAGGTTCTAGAATAGGCTAATTCTGCAGCTAAACTTAATGGCAGCTTTAACTGCTACGTGTATAAAGCCACATGGGATTTTACAGCCAGCTTCCTTGAATTTAAGACTAAAGGAGCCAAGTTTATCTATTAAGTACCTCTGCACATAAGTTATTTACTATAAATAAATGCATTATTGCATAGGAGAAATTAAATCACTGACGATGAAATCTGACAGAATCTTTCCCCTGCTATCTGTAAGAAGTTTCCCAGGCCTAACTAGTAATTCTGTTTCACAACATGACTGCTTTTCCCAACAGAAAGGTAGCCTTAGCCTGCGATATAGAAGGTTCTTCCAAAAGTTATTGTACTATTTGTCAAATTACAAGCAAAACTCTGTTGCAAGTTTAGGTTTCTACACTGAAGACAATTTGGCAGACCAAGAAAAATCTTACCGCTGCATCAACATTAGCAGGAGAATCACCATTGGGATCTGCCAGCATAGAAATAACACTAATCATTATAGTTTCCACCGTGTGAATGGGAAGCCAGCGTTCCTCAGGTTTTTCATAGCCGTATTTGTCTTCTCCAGGCTCATGAAGAATTGAAATGCAGACATCGCCATTCTTGTCAACTACAAAGTAGAACAAGGCATATTTCAGTAGTGAATAACATGCTGGCATTTCTTCAGGATAGCTACAGAACTGTTAATCTTCACTCCAGCTAGTCTGAAAACACATTGGTGAAGACACTTGACAAAAAAGGAAAGTAATTAACTATTACAGAACTCGATCTGTAATCAATAGGGCTTGGTGGAAGCCTGTTATTATGCCTGGATCTCTGGCAGAGAGGGTACATGGGGAGGAAAAACTTAATTCTAACATCATGTTGCAACCTTCAAGACTACTTAGATAGGCTTCTACTAAAGCTTTTTCTGTTAAATTCAGCAAACTAGACAGTGCCTTTTTTCCACAGCAACATCTGGATATTACTGCAATATATTGGAATATGATTTAAGCTGCTGGAATTAGAAAATGCCCAACAAGTACTTGGATATTTCCAGAGCCAAAACTGACACAGCATCAAAATAGTCTCTCTGTCCCTTATGATGGGAGCGCTGTGCTGGTGTCCTCCCAGCTTTCACACTTAGAACTTCAATAATGATTTTAGAAACTGAAGAACATTCCTCCTTCCCAGTAAAAAACTTCTTCCGTTTTATTTTACCTTCCCACCTATGTCCAGCAGTCCTTAAGTAAATGAAACATTAGGGGGAGACTTCTTTGGAGGGACTAAAAGATGCTGTTACTTCCTTTCACGCTTCACTGGAAGAGGACAACCTTAGGCCTTCTACATTAAACTACCAAGTTAATATTACCAAGATGAAATATTTGAAGGTATAACAAGAGGCAGCTATAGAAGTCAAGTTTCTCCTCAGACCAGAATTTCGCATTTAAGGGAAAAAAAAAAAAATCCCTGGACAGTTACCAAGAATTCAAGAAGCTACTTTCAGTAGCTTCTGACAATACTTTAGGAGCAGTCTCTCGGAGCAGCACTATTAAAAACTCTGCCATGGTTACTACTTCTTTATGAAGTGAAGATGGCAAAGTAAACTGAGAGTTTCACATTTCTAACACCAACAGAAATGTATCCATTTGTCTTCACCACATTTTAGTTCTTAACTGCAAAAAGAAATTGAAACTTTGACATTTCTTACCATTCGGATGCCAGATTTCTGTGATGAATTTCATTTTTGGCGGCCTCAGTGGATAGTCTTTTGGAAAAGTAAGATGAGCCTTGAAAACACCACCTTCACTGGGGAATCAAAAATATTTTCTTGTAAGCTTAAACTGAAGATTGGAACTTAGTGATGTATGAGAAGCTCTAAGTTTACCCCTCACACAGCTTAACATCATGTTAGTAATTAACAGTACCATCATTTCCATATGCAATGCAAAGAGTTTCTACATTGAGAAGATTCCTTCACAAGACACTGAGTTCCCCGACACTGTATCTTTTTCAGAACTAGGATGATGTTCCAGAGGGGGAAAACCACACAAAAAGAGATGAAAAAATTGCCAAGGAATTCACCATCTGGAATTACAACTTGCATTTTCCCTCCCAGTACATTTGTTAACAGAAAAAAAGAGATATTGCCAATACTCCCGTTCTCAAGCACAGCCCAGCAGATACCTGTTTATTTTGCTTCTTTAGACACCTCAGTCCTAATTTCTTGGTATCAGTTTGCAGCAGTGAGCCTCAGTGAAGAGTTACAGAAAGCTTTACAGTTGTGTCTACAGCATTACTTTGTAAAAAGACTTCCAATACTACCTTTTCAACACTAAGTAAAAAGGACTCAGACATGACAGTGAGGTGTTCTGCATTAGTTACCCACTAAACTGGAAAACAGCAATAAACAAGAGACATCTAGTTTTTATGTGGAGTCACAGGTCCATATTTAACTAAGATAAGTTTGTTGGGTTTTTATTGTTTTTTTTTTTTTTTTTTAAATAACTAGGTTTCGATACCCAGGAATAGTCCCTTTTGAAAAAATGTGAAGGCCTGTATTAAATGGAAAGCCTTATAGATTGAATACTTCACTAATATAAGTACTATAACATTTGCCTTGTTACTGTCATTTCTTGTAATTGAAGTCTGTGACAAAATTTGATATTGCAAAGGCAGAAATTACAAAAACTGGACCAAACCTCCAAAGAAGGTGGCACGAGATGTGCAGCATGACAAGCTACTCCTCAGTAGCCACACAGACAAAAGAATTGCTGGAGAAAAGACAAAGCTGTTCAGTGCCTTTTTTTTTCCACCTGTATTTGTAAAAGAGTAGGAGCCAGTATCCAAAGGCCACAGGGTACTGAGAAAATAAGAAGTTTTACCACCACTAATCAAAGATGTACAATTCTAGCAAGTGTCTCAAGAAAAAAAAAACCCAACCCCAAAAAACACTAGATCTAAGTGACTTGATACTAGGCAATCTGAACCCTCAGCATTTGTTTTCCACAAGTTGTAGAAAAGGCAGATGGCTTCCAAACAATCCTTGATCCTGGGAAGGTTAAGAATTCCAGAAACACTACCTATTTTAACATCCATACTAGTCAAGACAAAGGAGATTTAGATGACATTTGTTGATAGCTCCAAATCAGTCAAATCCTTTGTTTGAAAGTGAAAGAGTTCTTTCCCTTTTTAAAGAAGCAGATCCTAAAACTACTAAGGCTGTGTGACATCCCTGGTTGCCCTTCATCAACTACATATAAATACAGTTCTAACTGGATACCCATTAGAAACCAGTTAAGGGAGACCAGCACCATTTTTAGAAATCTTCCTGATAAAGGGGTCTCTGTCAGTAGAGTCATGCACTGAGTCTAAAGTCTTTCTAGGTAAACTCAGAAGAGTGGGACCAGGAATGAGACTAAAGTTTGAAAATTTTGAACCGCCTGGTTAAGTTAAACTATTACATTCTACTGTCATCATAAAATGGACCAGGGAAGAATAATTTGGTATAATGCTACCTTGAAAAGCAGCAACTAGGGACTGGAACAGAAGACAGCTTATCATCTAAAACCATCTCAAACAAGCTCAGCACCTTATTGAAGCAGGAAAAACACTATTGCAGTTTTTAACATACAAGAAGAGGTTCAATTAGAAGCAGTATTTCTCTGCTGACAGTATTTATGAAATGGCCATGAGAATATAATGGAGCCACTATACAACTGTTCAAAAGAGGTCAACAGAAGTTGGAGAATTCATCTCATGCAAGACTTGAGAATCACAATGTAGTGAGCTTGAGGGGCAGCAAAGCAATGTGATTACTGTGCTTAAGTACTTATTCAGAAGTCTGCAGACAGAGGTATACAACAACTTCATGCTGGAACTAAAATTGACCTCAAGTAAATGTCACTAGGCTTTTTGTATCAGTAATTTACCACTGGAACAGCTTAATGAAGGAGAACAGGGTTCATCTTCAAGAGCTACGCTTTAAACTGACCTCTTCTGGGCATAAAACCTTTTCCCCAGGAGCTAGAGTAGATGATCATATATAACCTCAATGAAAAAGAGAAATCATTCTCTTAATTAGCCAGATTTTTATTTTTTTTTAAGTTAAAAAACCCGACCCACACTGCCAGAGTGCTTCAGGTATATAGCAATGCAAAAACACAGCCAACTTAAAAGAGTCCAGGAGAAGTTACTGTATGAGCTGCATAGTTTTGTGTTCAAATCTCAATTAAAGAACCCATTCCTTAGGATAGATAACTATGCTTTTTGAAGCCTTCTGTGCAAGGTTTGCGAACAATTCAAATTTGATTAACACTGAGGTACTCTAGGTCATACTAGGAAGTTCTCCCATTTCAAGTTAACAGGACCTGAAGCTAGTTCTATGGTCAGGTGCAGTTTCCCCAACTACATCCCTCTTGAATATTTTCCTACAATCAACAGCATGAATTTGTAATGGTTTAGAACTGTACTATCAGCTAAACTAGAGCCTCCCAGCATTAAGAGCAATAGTGGATTACACCTGCCTTAATTAAATGTGTAAGAAAGCAGAAGCTGCCTGTAAGTATAGCCTATTCTTTCTCATTTCTACACAAGTACAGATAGATCAGTGCTGCATTTTCTCAGGGGAGCAAAACAGTTTAGAACTTCTATATAGCAAATTCAGCTATTTACAGGTATTTTACTAGCAACAGAACAGTATTACCTAACTTAGTATGAAGATTTAGGTTAACTTCTACTCACTTAGACCGAACTAGAACTAGTAAATCCAAGTTCACTTAAGTTTCTGTATAAGTATCAGTACTTACTATAGTGTATCTGGAGGACCAATAATAAGGACTTCCCATCGATAAAGATCATTGTCATCTATTAAGCCCGCTGAAAAGCCTTCCACTGGATTTTTGTTGAGCTCTGTGTAGGAAAAAGAATTTAAAAGTGACTTTAGGTGTCTATGATATGCATTTGCTGTTTATGCTCATGCCCCTATACGTGACAAAAAAAAAAAAAAAAAAAACCATGACATTCAGTGATTTGGCGCCTACTGATAGCCTTATAGCCTGGGTGAGTATCCTCAACTCCCTACCACACACCACAGCACGCTGCCAGAGCCAAGACCTATAGTCTGACTCTAAAACTACCCAAGTACATCATGAGCAGAAGGGCCAAAATAACTCGGAACTGTGGGACAGTCTCCTAAACTAGATACCAATAGAGGCGTGTACAAGCCCGAAAACAGATTTTCTACTAATAAAAAGCCATACTGCTTTACAAGAACCCGGAGGAGACAGATTAAACTGAAGTCTATCTTTAACTCTAGAAAATGTTGACAGAAGAACAAAGTCACACTATGTCTTTATTTAAAACTCACATCCTACTTCCCTTATGATTTTTTTCTTCAGAATCTGAAAGCATGAGACTTGAGCCCAGTGCATTCTGAAGATAATTATCTACTACATTCTGAACTACTAGAAGAGAACACAGAAGATAAACTATTATGCTGGTTAGGTTTTGGGTTTGTTTTTTTTTTCCCCATTTCACAGTTTTATCCACTAGTGATAAGCAATACAGGATTCTAAATTTATAGGCTACTTCATACAGTTACTGCCAGATAGAGGGCTGAAGTCAGACCTAGATGTAGACTCCACTGAGCAGCTGCTTTCAGCCTGCTCCTGGAAAAAGCATAAAATTTGGAAATAAACACCTTAAGTGAGTTCTGCCTAAAATTCAACTGGAGGGGGGAGGGGAAGAGAAGATAATATCTCTTAACTGACAGCTTTGCATCAAAAACTCATTTAAATGCCATATTGATGCCAAATTGAAATTCTTGATCCAGCATTTCCAACAGTACATACAAAGTCCTGATGGATCTTGGATATTTAGGATAGGGGAATGGGAGGTGAAAAAAAATCCTTCAATTGATCAGTAATTTCCAGATTAAATTAGGGATTATTTGTTTTGTTTTACAATTACTACTGCACTTATTTAAAATTCTGTCAGACATTATACAGCCCTCATTATATTCACAGTACAGTTAGTCTACATGTTCCCTCTTTGCAAACCCAATAGCTGTATTTTGTGTCAGTTTCTAGGCATTACAGACTTAAGTTCAGAGGTCCTTACAATGCCCTCAGGTATGTGCAGAAGAAGTTCAAGTGAGAACCTCATACATATATGGACAAAAGGCCACCATTAAGTACAGACTAATTTGCCCATAAGCTTGCAGTCACTGTTTGCCAGTTAAGTTCTTAACTATGTAAAGCATTGTTAAAAAAATACAAGAATCTATTCAAGCCCTACACAGAAGAGTCTAAGTCCACACAGGGAAAAGAAAGTGCTCAGCTCACATGAAGGACCAAGGTCCTAAAGAGAGAGATAGCAGGAATACCAACTTTGGCCATTGGTAATTCAGAGTCAAACTTATCCACATAGATGACTCAATGCTAAAGTCCCAAGAAATGTACTGGAAGGGCTTTTCTTAGAAGCTACACAGCAGGGGTTTAGTCAACAGATGAAGTCAACCATTCACCCTCCAAGTTGCAGGACAAAGACTTAGGTATTGAACCAAACAATGTTTTCTCAAAACAGTGTATGAAACAAGAGGTAATATCACAGGCTAAAACCAAGATACAAGCTTCAAAATCCAAAAACTATAGCATCGCCACACCTCCACTAAGCAAACCAGTTTTCACCCTTTGGCACCTATGAAACCGTGGCAAGAGCTGCATGAGCTTGAGCAACATTTCCATTTAATTTTAGGTGAAAGGGGCAGAGAGACTAGGTAAGTGTCTCACATGAAGTAAGGACTTCACCAGACCCTTACTACCTCCCTACTACAGATAGTACTCCAGCATCAGATATTAAAAAAGTTCCACCACATTAGTAGTTGAATATAACCTGCTTTTTCATGCAAGATTTTAATAAAAGAAGTCTATTGCTTGTGCAAAAAAGCCACCTCTATTCAGGACACCAGGTCATCCTTTTGTATATTATATTACTATTGTAATAGAGAATATCCAGCATGACTACAGGAGTCAACAGAAAGACAGCAAATATTAGAGTATCTCACCTTAAGACTTTCAAACTTAAATTTAAGCCTCCAAACCACAAGTTCCCTCATTTCTGCATTTCCACAGGGAGAAAAGGGTTTATGCGGAGTTCTGTGTAAACTGCTCACATTCAGCTTCCTTATTGTTTGCTAGTTATCACTTCTCAGTGGTAGGACTGTAAACAAGCCTGCCAGAAGTTCAGACTCTGGAAAATTCAGCACACTTCTCTATCTAAACATGCCACACTACTTTAGAATCCAACATACTCATTTTCTTCTCTACTTCTTGATTTGTGCCACTTCAATTTCTTTTTACATCTGCATCGTCCTCCAAATAACTTTTTTTATCCTTAAGTCCTGTGAAACATTTTTCATGTACTTGCTCCCAATGAAAGCCAGCTCTTACACTCTGACTCATACTTGCAGCACTGTATTGCAAGAGATCTCGTGAGAAGGAATAAGATTGCTGGATGCCAACTGTTGTAATGCAGAAAAATCTGTGAACTGTATGAAAGGAACAGCCACTGACAAAAATCTTAAGCTACAGCAGTTATGGAAATTTGCTTAGTGGATGTTGCCTATGAAGCAAACTATGATGTTACTTCTTTTATAGGAGATGGCATCGGTCTCTGCTTGTAAAACATTCAGTAGCAATACTGAAGCTACTGCTTGCACAAATACTTTAACTTCACGTAAAAACCACCCCAAATATAAGCTCAGGCACCTTCTCCACTAGACGCATGTAGAATTAACATAGGCAAGTTAAAATGAGCTTTTCCATCCAGATATTTTATGCTAAACTGAACATCAGCTAATGGCTGGCTGGCAGACAAAAAAGGAAATCTCAGGAAAGTTTTGCACAGGGACATGAAAAACATCATCCTTGGCTGCTTTACCATGGATAGCTAAGAGCTGCTACTCGTTAAAACTTGCAAACACTGAAGCCTAGGGTTTGTTTGGTTTTGGTTTTTTCCCCTGGATATAGCCAACACCACATATCAGAAGAGTTAGCTACACCTATCTCTTCATGAGTTGAGACTCACGCAGTAGTGAAATCCATGCACCAAAATCCCAGCTGAATAGCGATACCACTATGGCAGGAAAGGAGCACATAGGCACCGTGCTCACAGTCACAGGAGTCAGCTGCCAGGCAGAGGGACTTCTGCCCACCAGCCAGAGCCTCTGGTGACACTGACACTGCACTCAAGAAAACCAGACACCTGTTCCCTATGTCTGTCATTTCCTACCCGCTACAGCCATTAACTACTTGCGGCCTGAGCAAGAGTTTTCCTAGACGAACACAGGGATGGCGACTATGCTTCATGAAGCAACGTATTTGATTGATTCCCTCCCCCTGCCAGGGAGAGGGAACAAGCCCTCTCAAAGCCCTGCTGAAAAGCTAGCCTGCAAGTCCTGGAAAAGCAGAGAGGTCAGACACCTACGAAGAACTGAATACCTCCACATTATTTTTTCCAACACTTAGTTTTCCTTTGAGATTTCTGGTTTAGCTGAAGATATCCTGTACTTTTTAAACATAAATGAGTATATTAACACATTTCTGTCATGTCCGTGCCTAAACAGGTACAATTTACTTGCTACTATGTATTACACACTACAGCTTCGTATTTCTGCCAACATTTTCTGCATTTCTGATAGTTTAATATAATAGAAATTTTTCTTCTCTGGGAAGAAAAACATTCTTACATTCACTCTAGAAGCTGTTTCAGGTAGAGCCCTTCTCAGCTCAAGCAGCAGCTGACAGTCAAAGCAGCACAAACCTAGGCAGCTGCCAAGCAGCAACATACTGGGGAAAGAATCCTGTGGCTGCTTATAAATTAGACATTCAGTCCCTCTAATCCCAGTCCTGACTCAATAGACGATTTGGGAGATGAGGAAGACTACAGGCCCATAACCCAACAGAGCTGTTTAAGTCCAGAACAGACTTTAATATCCAATGCCTGGTCTCCCACATGATCTGCCAGCACACAGCGCTCCTTTAGCAGCTTAGCTCTTACTAAAGCAGAACTCAAGTTCCACTGCCTTAAACTTGAGCCAACACAGTACCAGAAGCCATGCTTCCAGTTTCAGCATTTCGTTGACATCAAGCTACTGATGTTCCCACACTCACTAAAACTGCCTTTATACAAGCCAAGAGACTTTCACCAATCCAAAAGCAAAACAGCATCAACAAAAATGACTAAGCAGAAACAGCCCCATGGCTACATGTAGCAGCTATGTACGGCATCTAAACTTTTCAGTTTGACGTTTCACCCAGCTAGCCACTGCATATGAACGCTTCAGAGTATTTTAAGCTACATTACAGAACACTGCTTTCAAAAACATAAGCTTCTACATTATTTTTAATAGCAGCCTCTTTAGTGAGTTACACAGTGGTTGAGTTTTGTGCAACTAGTGGATTGAGTCCAGCACAAAAACAGAGACCGGACAGCTAAGGCTTCTGAAAAAAAAAAAATCATCTAGCCAACTTACACAGTTCCCAGAACAAGCAGGCCGTATCAGAGGTTTGCATTAGCTATACATTAGGCTTGGGTTTTGTTGGTTGCTTTTTTGTAAGTCTCAGCACTTAGTCCAGGAGCTTCTAACAATTGTACAGACCAAAAATCCTCATTCTACTCTTCTCCATACCCCAAGCTGTAACTTCCACATAGCTGTATTACTTAACTGAGGTCAGTTATGACCTCCAAGACTTTCCTTTCTGCCTGCATACCCAGCTGTAAGTCTCCGATTCTCGAAGATTAGGGCTGAGATAATGATAAAGTAACATGATCTCCTTGCAAAGATGTGTTCCCAGAGCTCCGTATTACCTACTTTCATCATGTTGTGTCTTGCTCCACAAGCTCATCCA